ATCTATGTCTGTAATCATTCATTTAGGGATAGAGGGATTGCTTTATGACAGGATTCACCACTCTCTCCTTTTGTATTACTAGATAATGTGTCATTTAAAATTTCTTTTAAAAATCACTTAAAAAAAAATGTTTTTCAGAGAGTGCATGTACTTCCCAGAAAGAGAGATAGGAGAGGGAAAAAGCATCCTCCCCGGGGAATGAGCACACTGCAATCCCTTTTCCTCCATTTCTCCCTGCTTTTGGGATTTGGGGCATATGCTTGCACACACCTGGCATGTTCTTCAAGTTGCCAGTGCCAGGACTTGAATTGCACAGGTGGCCGTCTGGGATCCAGTTCCCTTTACCACCAGGCTACCAGCTGACCCTAAAAATCACTTTTGAAAAGAAACAATAAATAAATAAAAATAGAGCAGAAGATTTTGTATATGAAGAAATTTCAGGAATCTCACTAGTTTGTTAAAAGGCAAAACTGCTTGTAAATGCCAGACTAAATAAAATAGGATTTTTGAATTGAATATCACTTCTGTACTTGACTTGAGTTAAATAGGCATCCCACTGTATTTTGTGTTTATTTTTATATTTATTGCTTTTGCCTGTAAGTGTGTTTCTGGCCCTCGTTACATATAAAATGCTACTGGTACACACATATACTTAAAAAAAAATTGTCAGAGGGCATTTATGCTCACTAGAGAGAGAGCATGGGAGAAAGCACCTCTTACCTTCCACAGTAGGACATGGTCATGCCACATCTCTTCATTTCCATTTCTACATCATCTGGAATTCTGGGGCACACCATGTGCCCGGTGTGTTTTTCAAGCTATTGGGGCTGGAGCTTGGACCACACATTCGGCCATGTACACTCTTACTCCCTTAGCCACCAGGCCAGAGGGCCACCCCTATGCATTTTGTTCTTAATGAGAGAGATTGACTGATTGGTTTTTGACAGGGTCTCACCGTGTTGCTGTCTTCCTGCCCCCACTATCCAGTTAGCTAAAACTACAGCATTGTGCCTCTGTGTACCCGGCCTGTTGCAGTTGGCAGGAATTCCCTGTGGTCTCTGCCTCCAGTAGTAGTGTCTTAGCAATGCATATGCTGTCGCTGTTAATACGTGTGCTTCACACAACTTGTGTTTCATCCATGTGACCATAAGCTCTGTTTTATCACCACTTTAATCCCAGTGCCCGTACGTGTACCTGGCACAAAACAGTTCTCAGTTAATATTGTGAGTGCGTTGTGAATATTTGACTTATCATTTGAATCCCTGTTTAATAGAAGAAGGCACTGTTTTTGTTTTTTTTTGTGAACGTTTAGGAGTATATATGCTGGTTTGTACCTGACTAGACTAAAAGTGTGTTATGAGTGGGAACTTGGTTTTCTTTTTCTTACATTCTCCTTGATAGCAATTTGGACTGTGATGAGTAGTAGGTATCTAAACATGTGATTGAAGGAAACACCATAGATGGATTTTATTTCTTTATCAGAAGACTGCTAAAGATGTAGTCATGCATAAGGAATTTGGAAGAGAATCAGAAGTCTAGCGAGTACTTGTCTGTCAGCTTGAGGGCCTATTTAAGATTCCACGCTTATGAGGAGTAAAGAGCTAGGGTTCTGAGATGGTTCGTTCTTTGCTCATTCGCCGCTGTTTTGCTTAATTTTTGATCCTCTGTGTCAGAGATGGTTTAAGTCAGTGGTTCTCCAAGCATGGTCCCAGGTCAGCAGCTTGAGGATCACCTGGGTACTTGTTAGAAATACAGATTCTCAGGCCTTACTTTAGACATAATGAATCAGGAACTAAGGGTGGAGTCCGAAGAATCCAGTGTTTTAACAAGTCCTCTAGGTGATTCTGATTCTGAAATTTAATGTAACTGGGCTAGTGTTGGAGTGGTTAAGGTTTTAAATATTTTTCAGAAAATATTTACATGTCAACTACTCAAACTGTTGCAAAGCAAGCATCCAGTACACAATTCACATGTAAACTTTCTCAATTCAGCCCTGCCTACCTACTCTTCTGTAATATACCATCTGCTAGCAAAGATCAGTCTCTTTTTCTTCCTTCAAAGTCTTCCTCAAGGTTATTCTCTAGTTTGTGGCTACTCTTTTGCAGTCTTTACTGATTACAATTCTGGACCAGAAAAGCCCAGGTTATTGGGACCAGCAGATGGCGTAATGGCTACTTCACTGGACTCCTGCGTAGTCGACTGCAGTTCGAGTCCTGGACCTAGAGGCTTAAACTCATGCCAGGTATGTGTGCGTGGGTGCCCAAGATCCCGAGAGGAGAATGGAGGAGAAGGGATTGTGGCGTGGCCATCCCTTCTGGGGGGTTATTTCTTGCTTTCTATCTCTCTGTCTCTGTCTGGCCTGCACATGCGCCCTAAAGCAGAAAAACCTCTCCAAAAAAAAAAAAAGATTTTGAGTTCAGATATATAGAAAAGAGTTTCTTCCTTAAGGCAGGAAATTCAGTAAGCATTAAGGATTTCAATGACCTTAAAAATATTCAGGTGCTTGGCTCTCCTACATCTAGGCCTGTCTTGTCACTCAGTTGTGGAGACTGAAGAGCGGAGTGGGAAAGTAAGGTTAAACAACAACAAAAAAAGGCAAAAGGTAAAGGAAAAGAAAAAAAAAAACTAGACAAAAACAACCAAAAAAGAGAAAAAAAAATCCTTTTTTTTAAAAGGTAAAAAATGAAAACTGGCAGGCGCTTTTTGCATCAGGACACACCTCGGATTTAAAATGAGTTCTGAAATTAGCAAGAGAAAGAAAAGATCCTAGGTGAGACAAAGTATTTTAAAAATTAAAAAAATAAATAAAAAATTTAAAGAGAGAGCAACAGAAACAGAGGACAGAGGTTGCCTTACCTGTCTCAGTGTTTCCGGGGTCTAGAAGATGGGCTTTAGAGCATAGCGTTAGTCACCTTGGTCCCTGAATGTGCCAGGACACACCTCAGATTTAAAATGGCTTCTGTCTCAGTGTTTCTAAGGTCCACGAGGTATGAGATAATCTTCAAGGGGCGGGCAGGTGGCATGGTGGTTAAGGGTGCTGGACTTCCACATGGCTGACCGTGATTTGAGTCCCAGACGGGGCGACTTGCTTTCTCACTTTCCCTCTTTCTCTTCCCTCTCTCATTCTGTCCTTTTCTGGTCAAATTAAAATAAATAAAGTTAAGTAAAATAATTCTTAAAAAAAAAATCATCTTTGAATGTAAAAAGCATTCTTGGGACCAGCAGGTGGCCTGGTGGTTAAGGTGCTGGACCTCTACCTCTCACTTTCCCTTTCTTTCTCTGTCTCTCTCTGGTGCACATGTGCCCTATAGCAAATCAAAACAATAATAATAAGTACAATTTTAAGAAGTATAAAGCACTCTTGATATATAAATAGCATTATTATCTCTTAGTGGGTTAAATATTAATATGACAGAAATTAGTTAGGGAGTAGAAGCATGTGAGAGTAGTAAAATTGATAGTTCTTCTTGGGGCTCTTAAATAGAGCTCCTACCTGACTTTTGTAAGTATTATGAGTTGGGACCGGCAGGTTGCGTGGTGGTTAGGGACACTGGACCTCCACATGGTTGACTGTGGTTGGATTCCTGGACCTGGAGGCTTGCTTTCTCACTTTCTCTGTGTCTCTCTCTGGAAATATTAAATAATAATAGTAATAATAATAAATACTTAAATAAAATAATTCTTTTAAAAATGTATTATGAGTTACTAAAGTGTTAGCAATGTATTTTCAGATTTTTTAAATGAAATAATTAAAAATTATTATTAACTATTTAATTATTCTGGACAGCAGCTCTTTCCTAGTCTGTATTTACTGAAGATAAAAGTTGTGTCTAGTATTTCATGTCAAAATATGTGTTTTTAGTAATTCTTTTGGAGGAGTGGGAAAGGGTAGAATGCCATTGTCTCTAACTTTTTTTTTCCTTCTAATAATATTTCTTTTTTTTTTTTTGAGAGAGTTTTTTTGCTATGGGGTGCGTGCATTTGCCAGACATACAGACATAAAGACAGAAAGTGAGAAATCATCTCCGAGGGGGGATGGTCAAGCTGCAGTCCCTTCTCCTCCTTTCTCCTCTCGGGATCTTGGGCACGCACACACGCACATGCGTCCGGCGTGAGTTTTAAGCCACTGGGTCCAGGATGCGAACCGCTGTCGACTACATGGGAGTCCAGTAACATAGCCATTATGCTAACTGCTGGTCCCCTCCCTCGCATAATATTTCTAAAAGCGGGGGATCAATGCATAGTGATTGAGAAAAGGGAGCTCTTTATTGTTTGTGGGGGACCACCAGGAAAAAGTTACTCAAGGTAAAAGAAGTGCTCATGAAATTTAAATATGGTGAAACTTTGAGAATTATTTCTTTGCAAGGGGATTATAAGAACTCTCCATTTTACTTTTCCCTCTTCACTCTCAATGACAAAGAAATCCTCTCAATGCAGGAAAAGACAAATATTTGAGCAAACTATATACTTTGCATATGCTTATGTTAATATTGGTTGTTTTAGATAGACTCTTAGAGAATATGGACTACAAGTTGTAACATCCCTAGTCTAAAGTAAAGTACATGTAGGTGTCTTTTCTTTCTTTCTTTTTTTTTTTTTTAAAAAAAAGTTCAGCTCCACAGTGCATTGGTAGTGTGCTGCTCAGAAGCTGGACATACGACGACAGGTTCAAATTCCACCTGGTCAGCCTGAGACACACCACGGCATGTGGTAGAAGACTAGAGGAAGAGGATCTCGGTGTGAACAGATCCTGGAGAGGATGCTCCTCTCTCTCACCGTCATGTGCACATGCACACACACTGTCATTACTAAAGAAAAAATTGAAACATTTTTCCTCCTCGTAGTCAGAGCTTTTCTCTATTTTTTACATAGTTTGTCACAGATAAGTATAGGAAATATTTCAGCATCTAATTGTCCTATCTCACAAAGGTTCTTTTCTCAAATAAGGTTTTTCAAAAATATTAATCTAAACTGAGTTTGTCTTTTCTCCCCCTACTTAGGCCCAGATTGCCTTTCTTCAAGGAGAAAGGAAAGGTCAAGAAAATTTGAAGAAGGATCTTGTGAGGAGGATCAAAATGTTGGAGTATGCTCTTAAGCAGGAAAGGTAAAATCAAAGTAAAATGAAAGACAGTGTTCAGAATAGTTTTTTATCATTCTGAAAATAAATCCAAATTTTAATACTATATACTCTTGATTTCAGGACTATCTCTAATAAATATTTCAATAAATGGTTGTTGATGAATGAATAATTTAGTATTAATGATCAATACACTGATTTATAAGATTAAAGAATTTTTAGCAACATTTTTCCCCTTCCCTGCCTTTTCTTATGAAACCTATGTAGTTCTTGAGCTATAACTATCATTTCTTTATGAAGTTGAAATACTTTTGAGTTGTAAGGGAAATATTTGTAATTCTTACACCTTCCTTTTCCTATCATTTAATATTATTCAATTTGATGTATTTTCTTTTAAAAAAATTGGTCTGACAGGCTATGTCAAAAGTCTTTTTAGGGACCGGCAGATGGTGCTGTGCTTAAGGGTGCTGGACTACCTCATGGCCAACTGTGCTTCAAGTCCTGGACCTGGTGGCTTGCTTTCTCACTTTCTCTCTCCCCTCCCTCTCCCTCTCCCCCTCTCCTTCTCTCTCCCTCTCCCTCTCTTCCCCTCTCCCTCTCTCCCTCTCTCTCCCTCTTCCCCCCTCTCTCTCCCTCTCTCTCTCTCACATACACAGTCTGTCCCTCTCTGGTCAAATTAAAATAAATAAAGTTAAATGCAATTATTTAAAAAACATTCTTATAATAGATTTTTTGATGTTTTGTTCTTTTGCTACTATCCATCCAGAAGCTAATCTTACCCTTCTGTTTTGCTAGTGTCTAAGATTCTTGGTAACTAAATTTGGGTCATAAGTAAAAGAAAATAGGTCACGAATGAAAATTTTGGAAGTTATCATGTGAATGAAAGCATTTTCTTTAATGATTGGTATCTGGATTTTTTTTTGCCAGCCATTGAGATAATTGAGTACTTAAAAGTGATATTGGGATTCTCTTTTCCTCCTTTTTATTTTTAACTCTTTTTTAGTGATCAGTAATCTTTTATATTTTTGAGGTTGGTGAATGGGCTATTTGTGAAACCACTATAAAATAGTATTTAGCAGGGAACCAGCAGTTAGCGTAATGGCTTTGTTGCTGGAATCCCATGTAGTCGACTGCGGTTTGCATCCCGGACCCGGTGGCTTAAAACTCATGCTGGGCGCGTGTGTGTGCGTGCCCAAGATCCCAAGAGGAGAATGGAGGAGAAGGGTGATTTCTCGCTTTCTGTCTCTATGTCTCTCCCTGTCTGTCTGGCGAGTGCACGTGCCCTGTAGTGAAAACCTCTCCAAAAAAAAAAAAAAAAGTATTTAGCAGGTGATATTTATGAATATCAAAAAGTAGATAAAAAATTTTATTAGAACTTATTTTCATCTTCATATAGAATATTTAAATGACACGAGAGATTGAAAAAAGTTTGAAAAACTTGAAAAAATATTTTTAAAAGTAGGCAAATGGGGGGATACTTTAGATTTTTTCTTTTTTGGGGAGAGGTTTTTGCCATGATGTGTGCATGCCTGCTGCAGAGAGAGAGAGACAGTGAAAGAATATGAGAAATCACCCCTCAGAAGGGATGGCCATGCCACAATCCCTTCTCCTCCTGGGATCTTGGTCATACATGCACACATGCCCGGTATGATTTTCAAGCCACTAAGTCTGGAACTTGAACTGCAATTGACCTTGTGAGAGTCCAGAGCCCCAACCATTACCCATTACACCACCTACTGGCCCTGATAGTTCCCTTTTTTGGTTTTTTTTTTTTTTTTTTTTTTTTTTTTGGGGGTTTTTTCCCATAGGGGCGGGTTCTCTAGACAGAGAGACAGAAAGCGAGAAATCACACTCCAGATGGGATGGCCACGCCGTAATCCCTTCTCCATTCTCCTCTCAGGATCTTGGATACGCATGCACACGTGCCCAGCGTGAGTTTAAGCCACTGGGTCTGGGTCTTGAACCGCGGTCGACTACGTGGGAGTCCAGCAACATAGCCATTACGCTAACTGCTGGTCCCTGGAGTGGTTTTTTTTAAGGCAAGAGAGAGACACAGAGACAGAAAGTGAGAAATCACACCCCAGTGGGAATGGCCACGCCACAATCCCTTCTCCATTCTCCTCTTGGGATCTTGGACATGCACGCATATGCGCCTGGCATGTGTTTAAGCCACTGGGTCCAGGATTTGAACCGCGGTTGACTATATATGGGAGTCCAGCAACATAGCCATTACGCCAACTGCTGGTTCTGGTATTTCACATTTTAAACTGTCTAAATTACTGGCTTAACCACAGAGACAAAATAATGGCATTAATAATGGTGACTATTGAAGCCAGAAGGTGATATGGTAGTTAAGATACTGGACTCCCATATGGCCAACTGCATTTAAGAACCAGACTCTGAAGCTTGAAAATTATGCCCAGCATGTGTGCGCGCATACCCCAAATTCCAAGAGGAACCTGGAGGAGAAGGGATTACAGCATGCCCATCCCTATAGGAGAGTGATTTCTCCCTCTTCCTCTTTGTCTCTCTCTAGTGAGCACGTGTACCTTATGGCAAAAACCCGGAAAAACAATGGCAACTATTTATTCAGTAGCAATGTGTACCAAGCTTAAAGACTTAAAAACTATTTATGGGGACCAGCAGATGGCATAAGGGTTATGTCGCTGGACTCACACTTACTTGACCATGGTTTGAGTCCTGAGTCCCAGTGGCTTAAAACTCACACCAGGCATATGTGAGTACATACTCAAAATCCCAAGAGGAGAATGGAGGAGAAGGGATTACAGCATGGCCACCCCCTCAGGGGAATGATTTCTCACTGTCTCTCTGTCTCTCCAGTGAGTGCATACACCCTGTACACCCTATAGCAAAAATCTTTCTTTAAAAAGAAAAAAACTGTTCATGTAGAATAAAAGAACTATAGTGGAGTTGTAATTCAGATTCCTCACTTCTGTCCCTTCTGAAGCTTATAGTCTTTATCAGTATGTTTGTTATGTAATCTAATAAAATAGGAGAAGTAAAATACACAAATACTAAAGTAATCAGGGATGGAGTGTGTGTGCTTGTGTGTGTGTTGGTGTGTATATATAGACTTGTAAACCATAGAAGTGCAGCGAAGTAGAGGTGCTTTGGTAGAAGTCTGTACAGGGTATAGTCAGGTCACAAAGAAGCAAGTGGAAAACAGGAGTGGAAAGGAAGGCATAGTTAGAGGAGGTGAGGCTTAGACAGTTTCGTAAAAAATAAGGTGCTTGCCAAGCAGGCAAAGTACAAGAAGTAGAGTGTACATGTTTGACATAGTACAAAGCAGTATGGTATGTCCAGGAATTTGTAATCGTTATGTGTGGAAGGTAGAATGTTAGCTGTGATTTGATGACTGATAAAGGTAGAAGGGACAAGAGACAGATTGTAGAGAATGTAGCTAGGAAGTTTATCATTACGTAGTAGGAAACATGGAACGTTTTAAAAATGTTTTGTTATAAAATATTAACTTTTTTTTTAAGCTTTTGCCTTAGGGTATATGCCCTCACCAGAGAGAAAGAGAGGGGAAAGTAAGAAATCACCCCTCTGGGGATGACCATACCACATTCCCTTCTCTGTCATTGTCCTCTTGGGATCTTGGGGGCACGCATGCACATGTGTCTAGTGTGATCTTCAAGCTGCCAAGTTCCAGGAGTCCCAACACGGAGTAGATCATGGGGGGATCTAGTGCTGCCAGGACCAGCTCGGCATGAACACGTTTTCTGAGTGCAGGAGGCTATGGAGAAGAAATAGACGCAATAACGAACACACAAAGACACACAAGTAGGGACCAGCAGTTGGCGTAATAGCTATGACACTGTACTCCCCTGTAGTAGACTGCGGTTCGAGTCCCGGATCCAGTGGTTAAACTCAGTGCGTGCGTGCCCAAGCCCAAGATCCCAAGAGGAGAATGGAGGAGAAGGAATTGTGGCATGGCCATCCCCCCCACCCCACCCCCGCCCCGGGGGGGTGGTGATTTCTCGCTTTCTCTTTCTCTGTTTCTCTCTCTCTCTCTGGTGAGCGCACATGCCCTATAGCAAAAACCTCTCAAAAAAATATTTTTTTTTAAAAGACACAAGTATAGAACAACAAGGATCCAGTGGGCATAGCTTCTCTGTTGGAGAGGTTGGGTTCAGAATCAGGCTCAGGTTTATTCTTTCAAAGAGCAGAAAATGGGGGAAGGGGAAAATAGGATGCAAAGGGAATTGGAAAGAAGGAAGTGGAATGCAAAGAGAATAGGGGAGAAGGAATTGGAATGCAAAGCCAGTTGGTTTTGGATGTAAATCATCTGAAGGTGTGAGAATGACTGGCGCCAAATCTTTTTGGAGGGGGACAACCTGATCAACAGCAACAGGAAGATAACCATTGACAGCAGGCATATACTGCTTTCGTATGTAGATGCTTCTCTATAGCCCTGCTAGAGTAGCTTAAGGAAGTACATTTCTGCATGTGTTTAAAGGCCACATGTTTTCAGACTGGCTGCTCTCCACACAGTGCCTTAAGGTCCGTGCCACTTGCTGGCCCTGCAATTGACATTTTGTTATATTTACTTTAAAATACTGGCTCTCTGTGTGTTTGTTATTTTTCCTTAAATAATTTGCTACTTAGCTTGTTCTCAGTTAAATATTTCTGCATATATTTTCCAGTATATATAATATGTATATGTGTGTGTGCGCGTATGTGTATTTGTGTGTGTGTGTGTGTGTGTGTGTGTTTGTATTCCCATAGCACAAGTATTGTGGAGAGAAAAGTGAACTAGCAGGAGCCAAGGAAATAGAAATACAAACACACACACACACACACATTTTTTTTTTCCCCTTTGGCTAGAGGTTACATGCACTTGCCAGAGAGAGGCAGAGAAACAGGAAGAGGAGAAAGCATTCTCCATGGGGGATGGTCACACTGTAATCCCTTCTCTCTCTCCCTCTCTCTCACTCACTCACTCACATTAGGATTTTGAGCACATGCTCCAGGACCAGGACGTGATCTGTGTGGTCAGACATATG